ATTGAGACAAGCCTTGATACACTTGGGTGTTTTCAAAAAACTGACAGTGACTGGTTGCTGTGTTATACTTGAGCAACATATAGAATTATTTTTGATTTATGTGGCAAATACACATGGTATGTTGTTGAGCAACTCAAATATTAGTGATATCCGGAAAAGATCATGGAGATTAAAAAAGAACAAATTCATAGGTTTTTTGATGGGATGCAAACTTCTGCATGAATATTGGATTCCTTGCATGCGACTACTTCCTGCATCTGCACTAAATGTTTAGACAAATTATGAGGTGAAGATTAGTTTTATATGAATGAAATTCTTAATAGGCATACACTTCATAGGAATGAGATCATAAACTGCAAGCTTCCTAATCTCCGTAGGAACGGACTCTCATCTGACACATGGTTTGAAAGCTACACTTTGGAAGACAGGTGAAAAACTTGGTATTAGCTCAGATCGAGCAAAACCATCTTGCTCACATCCATATCTACTTTCAGCCGCAACACCCCCAGCAGTTATCGTACCCTCAGGTCTCTCCAACTCTACTTGTCTGAACTACTAGTCTTACACAAAGAGCTCAGGAGCGTAGCTGAAATTACAATCAAAGAAGGTATAATTAAAGGATAAATGTTGGTAGCACAGCTCTCGTAAGACACAAAAACACAGTCACTTGTTCAGAACACTCTGTCTACGCGGCGACACATTTCCCCCCCCTCACACTATCCGGTCCCACACAACAGACTTTAATGGTCCTTATTGTCTTCTTTACAATTCATTAAGTGCCAACGAGACCCGAGAGTATGCTGTGAACTGTTCCTTCATTATTACACACAGTGTCTCAGCGGCCAGCGGCTGCTCTTCTCAAGAGAGAAAGCAGGTCCCACAATGATGTCAGCGCAGCCGTTGTGTTCGTGCAGCACAATGTGTTTGACATCCGCCATTCACCTCGCCTCTGCAGACGCGGGACTTTTTCCACTTTGAATTTTAAAAAAAAACGATACATGTGCATGTGTACGTGCCCGTGAGAACGTGAAGATGTGTGTCCATTGAGAGGTGTGTGAGTGACAGAGAGGTTCATCCCTAGCGCCTGCCTTTCTAAGCACTGCTGTGGGCAGGGCCATCTCCGCTGACAGTAGATGGGATGTGGTAGGGGGCTCGGGGATTAAGGGGCTTTGAGCAGGACTGAGAGTGGCTCTTTCTCCCTGTGACAGAGAGAGGTGACAGGCCGTCAGCGCACAGGGGACAGGCGGACAGCCAGCAAGAGACATCTGCATTCATTCAGGACAGCAGCTTATCCGTGCACAAAAAAATAACGCCCTCTCGAAACGCCCTCCGTCCACACTCTCACACTCTGCCTCACACGCACAAGAGTGTATGTGCGCACACATGCAACACACAAAACCTTCATTCCAGAATTGACCTTTCCTAGAGTTCATGTGTAAACTGAAAAAGCAGTTACCACAAACAGACAGGTTGAAAACTCTCCTGGAGGATTGTCTTTGTTGTTTTGACTGTTTATGACCCATCAGGCATCTACACCATAAACACAGGCACTATTTAAGCAACAGGTTAATCATAAACGTTTTTGATCCGATAATAACTAGTAATACAAAAACACCAACGTATTCATTTTCATCACTAGATCATAAGAAATGAAAAGTTTTCAGCTAACAGTTTAAAGGATGAACTCCTCCAGGTCAGGCATCTGCCTCTCGTCCCTCCATCCTCCCATCCTCTCATGAACAGGAGGCTTCAGGAGACAGGCAGATCCAGGAAAGGCCCTGCCCAGCCACCTAATCCTTTACTCCTATTCACCATCACTGCTAATCTCCTTCACCACCTCCCCACCATCACCACTACCGCCACCACTATTGCCTCCACCTCCACCTCCGCCTCTTACTCGAGAGGTGCACAAAGGCCCTAAGCGCCCCTGTCCCGCCCAACTCCCCATCCCACCCCTTCCCGCACCCCTAACCTGCTCCGCCCATCATCGCTACAGCAGGAGGCACCCAGCTTTCTAAGCCCAGGACCCATAATCCCATGGGGCTGCGAGTTTGGGTGAGCCCAAAGGCTCATTGAGTGTTGGATAACTCTCTCCCGGACTCTAACTCTCCGTCTTATTGTTGCTGCCGCTGAGAAGAGGACAGACACAAATGGAGTTTGAATTTCAATGCGCCTGACGACTGAGAGAGCGAGAGAGACAGCAGACTGTGGACTGGAGGGCATCCAGGCATTAAAAGTATTTTGAAGCAAAGCCTTGAGATATAAATATACAATACACAATACAATACACATAATCCAAATTTTTTTACAGTTAATGAAATGATCAAATACATTTTGAGTAAAATATTTCATACTTTCCCTTGTATTCTTAAACATTTACTGAGCTGTTAAATGAATTTAATTCCAGACCATGAGCTTATCGTTAATCAGCTTTGATCTGGTCCATTTTCACTGTCCATTCAGATTGTTGAAATGATTTGGATTCATTAAAAACAATCTTTATATTACATATCGATTAATCTTCTATTTCAAACATATATAAGTATGAAGGAAAAGGTTCCTTAAAGCTAGGGTTGGTAATCCAGAGCAGACTGCTAGAAGCCGACTTTTCGGTAACTTGCTCACCAACTTCTGACCATTGTCTCTGCTTCAGCTTTGTACGTCTTTCAGCTAAAGATTTCAACAAAGAAGATAAGAGTTTCAAAAACAACTTATCAAAACTAGATTTTAGTTTTTTTGACACATGAAGCATCTGATGTTAATAATTACATTCATGAACAAATCCTTCACACAAATACAGTTCTGTCCACATACCCAAACTACAAACACACACATACAGTAGGAATATGATTGCTGGCACAGTCAGCACTTCACTTCTGCATACGAAAGTGTAAGCGGGCGTCTCAGCCTGACAAGCCGCTCTCTGCTGCCTCCCTACCTCTTATTTACCAAAGCTATCTTTCCCATAAGTCACCATTCCTCTATTCATAAAGCATCACGGACGCCATAAGTCACTCTTCCCCTTTATGAATAAAGCCGCCCGAATTTATGGTGATGGCTCAGAGGAGCGGTGGCCTCCCTGGTGACAAACTTCCCCCAGTCTGTCACCACTGGCCTGAGCCGCTCAGGGCCCTCCATCAAACGCTCCAGATGGGAGCGCCACTTTATCGTTCCCCCGGTCGGTGACATCACCTCGCTGCGCTGCACAGAATTGATGATGAAAGCAAACATATCTATCTTAACTCACATTTACCAAATCAATTTTATTTTTACAGACCCTCCGCGGGCTTATTGGCATATTGACGGTTTGCAGTCGGGGGCTGGGGGTGTGAGCGATGGGCGAGGGATGGTAAACGGGTGGGCATGGGAGAAGGGGGGGTCAGGAGGGCTTAATGGCATTTACCATATTTAATGCAGAGGGATGTCATCACTGAATATCCATTCTGAATAATGTGGCATTTCATCATAAATTCTTTACAACTTATTTACTTAATGGAAAGAGTTATGGCTCGCTGTCAGGATGGTAATTAAACATTGTGATACAGTGCTTCCTCTGCAAGATCCCATCGTAGATCCCCCCCTTGCCACCACCAGCACCTCCCAACGTGCCTGCCCCGACACACATACACGCACACACACATGCACACTCCCCATCTCAGCTTTTTAAATCCATATTATTATTCAAGCTGCCCATTAATTACCACAAGATTAAAATTCATGAAAACTCCTTTTTCCTCCCTTTATCCTTTATTTCTTACCCTGGGAAAAAAAGAATAACCAAGAGAGCTTGTTAGACCAGCTGTAAATCTCTTCGGAAGAGACAGAGACTTTTTATTACGGCTCTCTGTTATGAAAACTGGCAAAATGAAGAGTTTTTCTCTCACTTCCATTTAACAGACATCCATATATTGCATCTCACGAGCAGCAGTTGTTAATGAGGGAGATGTTTCCTGGAGAAATGTAGTCCAGAGTGAAAAAGAAAGAAATTTATTTTCACCCGGGCTGAGCCAAAACCACTGAGTCAGAGCCGATGGGCTGGAGTAATGCTCTATGATGCAAACCAAACGAGCTCCAGTCCAAATCCAAAACTATTTATATGAGCAAAATGTTGATACTTTACCAACACGTTCCCAGTCATCTTTAAAAGTGAAGTATTAAAGTGGACTTAAGGCTCAGGGAGACTCAGGAAAGAGAGTGAACACTGTTTTGAATGGTCTTTTTATTTAAACCTGTTACTTTTCGCTCTATGAACTGCATGGTCAGCGACTCTTCAAGAGCTTGGTTCTGCCAAACAAAAGAACAAAGGTCTGGATATGAAGTACTAAATCCTCACATCCAAATTAGAGAGGATCTATTTTGGGAGACTAAATGAGGCTGATACTCTGCCAGGCCCTTCCTCCTGCTCTATAAAACCCAACCAGCCTGACACTGACGGAGACCACATCTAACCTTTGACCTTGTCCTGTGACCCTGCCTTCGATTTTTTTGTGCCGCCTGACCAATATGTGATTTGCCAATGGCCGCACTGGGTCCCTAACCAGAATGAAGAGGGGATTTATGGGTTTTCATTTTAATTGAGTTAAGAGCACAACCTCCACTGCCTTTCTTTCAGTGGCACTGAGCTAACATTACATCACTGGGCAACTGGCGACAACAACAGCTTTGTGGTCACTGGGCTAAATGTGAACATGACGACATGGGAGGAAATAAAAAGGGGACTTGATGTGAATGCTACAGTGTATGTTGGCCAAGGAAACCCTCCCTTGTCAGAAAGTGTGCCGCTACTACTACTGGTGCAGAAAAAAACCATGTGACTGCAATTTTCATGTTTATACTTAAACCAAAGTGTAAACTGCTCTGTCACAAGAAGAGCAAATTTCTTTAACCGAGCTGCAATAAAAAATAAATCCCAAAACCATTGAAAAATATGGTAGCCACCGTTAAAGTTACATCTCTGATTGATATTCAAGTGCAGTACACTTAAAGAAACATTAGCTTCTCTGAAGGTACTGACTCTAAAGCAAATATTTCATAGGATATTAACAACAAGCACACAAACTCTTCATCTATCATGTTCCTACCTCCCAGCCTTGAGTGGGGTCTCGGAGACAAGGCCTGTGCTCTCCTTCGTATGGTCCAAAACGCTCCCCGACGTTTACCTTCCTGCGGCTCCAGATGCCCAGGCCTCCGCCTGGAACCACCGAGTCCCTCAGCTCAAAGTCCAGGGGGATGGTCAAATCTTCTTGGGATAAAAAGATGCTCGGGTGTTGGAATGACAAGGGATCCTGAGGGGAAGACTCATCATCAGAGAGCAGAGGGGACACTGGGTCCTCCGCCAGGGCCGAAGAAGGTGTTGGATCACCATCGGAGCCGCACACATCATCTAGGAGGTCAGACGAATAAAGGGCAAACTCATCCTCGCCCTCACCTGTTTAAGACACAGAAAGAGTCTCTATGTGAGGGTGATGCTCAGTGACAACTTTGACATTGTTGGATTATCACAAATTAACGCAGGTTATGTATCTGACAAAAAAAAGTTATGCAGTGGTTAGAACTGTTGCCTCTCAGCAAGAGAGGTTCCACATTTGAATCCCAGTTTAGCTAAGGCCTTAAAATGTTGTGCCGTGTAGATTTTCTCAACTACTCCTGCTACCCCCCACATGTCCAAAGACATGCAGATTGGGATAAAGTGAGATGGAATGGTGATGTTGTGTCTGTGATACAACAACAACATGTCCAGGATGTTCCCCTTCCTGCATAGTGTCAGCTGGGATTGGCTCCAACTCCCACTAGACCCTCAAACAGTTATAGATAATAAATAGATAGAAACCCCAAAGAAAACAAAAGGCTTATTTCAAATATTGAGAACAAATGAGTAAAACACACATGTGCATGTATTAACTTGATCCGTTTAAATAAACAGCAGAAGACAGAAGGTTCCTACAGGTCTGAAAAAAGAGGGGTCATATGTAACAAAGTCTCGATTCTGTTTAGATTGAGCTCAGTAAAGAGCCAGAGATCATGACGGAACTTGTTTCTAATGTCTAATCACTGGATATGTTCCTGGCACGAGAAACACCCTACTGAAACAATTAAATTCAAATCACATTTAAAATAAATGTCAAAAACAGTCTTTTGGAGTTTTTGAAAACAACCCTACAGCAGCAGCACGGCATGTTTTGTTTGAGCTGCTGCTGATTGAGGTGGGTGAGCATGGTGTACTCGGCATTGTGCTGCTCTGACTGTTTTATATTTCCTTTTCCTGAACTCTTTCTCCACTACTGTAGTGAAAACAGAGGGAAGCACTCTGGGGTTAATTGTGAATAGAGTGAAACAGGACATAGAAGTATGACCCTTGAACCCACACTGGGCTTCTTCAGAGTGGCACACGTGGCTGGTGGGACTTTATTGTGGAAGCGTTGGCACGGTGCACAGGAGGCACGGAGCAAAGGAGCACCGGTTGAAAAATGTTTAACTCTGAAATGCAGGTAGAAAGGTGCTAGGAGGGAGTATATACCTCCGCCAAGGCTAACACCCTACCTATCTCGCCATTGCTGGGTCTCTGAATCAAAACAGATGATGGTGTCGTGAAGCAGCGTTCGATCATGAGAGTAGTGTGTTATCAGTATTATAGTAGGGACGGACAAAGCCACAGGTAAAGGGGATATAATGCAAGATGACCAAATTGAAATATCCTGTTACTTTGATTACAATTGGGTATTTCTGTTTGAATATTGTTAGAAGCATTTTGGTTAAAGTAAGTACACGTCAACAAAGTATATAACATAGGTCTAGTTGTTTCTACACATTTTAATAATGAAATATCCTATAAAAAAATCACCCTGATTATCCATTTCTGCTTTATGGGTTCCTGCTTGGGTCTTGCCCTTATGCCTTGACAACATTTAATGGAAATCTAATATGAATGCCTTTACATGGAAGGGCAGGTAAGTTCATATACAGACAATCAAAAGGTCATCACACAAGCAAACTTTCAGACAAATAAAGACAAGAAGCTAATGGGGAAACCAGCTAACATGATAGACTGCCAAACAGGTGTCACACGTTGAGACAGATGGACGCTAAAAGCCGGAAATGATCCACAGGAACCCGCCGATCCCCCAGCGTGCATCTGTGGTGGGCTGTGCCTAACGCAGCCTGACAGGCCAAGGGGAGAGGGGTCTCTGCTAATGAGGCTCCACAACCCATCCCTGCACTGACTAACATTCCTGAAGGGCTGCCTGTGTGACACTGTACCGCTGCGCTGTCAGCCATGGAACCTTTGATCCACAAAGATACACACACACACGTCTTGCTCACTGGCCATGAAGTAACTGTGCTTCTGATTGACTGAACCGGTCACCGTGATTGGCCACAGGTGGTCATAAACTAACCCGAAAGATTAACTCAAGACCTGGACACAGTCGCTGAACTATTTAATGTGCACGCTCCCTTGAGCCGTCGCAAACTTTTGAGACGCTACTTGAAGCACAAGATAAGCCATGGCCATTGTATGTAAATATCTTCGAATGTGCAACTTCCCCTTTGGCAAGGTCACAGCACAATGTCTGGTGAGAAAGAATGCAAAACTGTCAACTACAGTATAAGTACTACATGAGCTGTTTTCCTCTACCACTTAAGAATCAAATTGTGTGTTTGCTGTGAGGAAAGAAGTCTATGCTTGAACACATTGAGATGTTTTCTGTGTTTTTCACTACAGTGTGAGAGTGTTTATTGAACCAGATCTGACCTAAGTATTTATGATAGTCGTTCCCTGCAGCAATACCTGATCACAGTGCCTGTGCTACTATTGTGTTTGACACACACACTGTGTGGGCCCCATGTGTTCGAGGGGGAAACTCTGCTGAGTCGGGCCGGGCATGAAACCCAATGTGGCTCTGGGAGTCAACGTAATGATTTTCAGCACAGAGACTGTGTAACCCAGTTATAGTCCTGGATGTGAAGCTTGCCATATGGTGGAGGGACAAGAGCTTTTAAAGGTAACCGTATCCCTCCATTGCCGTTTCTCCTCTGACATTTCCCCCCTCACACTGGTCTCCAAGTTTATATTTGATTTAGACCAGAAATTCCCCCGGTCCACTGGACTCAACAAGAGCAGTGCAGCTCATAAACATATATGTTTCTGTAAGGTAAACGTTAGCTGAAAGCAAATATGCTACGTTCAGCGTTTTGAAAATTGTGGTTTCATGTGCAGATGATTGATAAGTCAAAGAGCGTAGCTCAGCTTAGACGTGTGGGGCGGTGGGGACGCTGCACACAGATGATCGGATCGTTGTGTGTGTGTGTGTGTGGGGGGGGATTTTGGTGTGCCTCGGCCTATCAAAGCAAACACTCCTGTTTGTTTGTTCAGCAATGGACATTACTTCATCAAAGAGGGAGCTCTAAAAGATTTCTGGGCCGAGGAGGGGAACTCCAGCTGGGAGCAGCAGCATCAAGATTTAAACTGCATTTATAGCACAGATGGTATTTCATGATAATATGAGGAAGCAAGTGTAAAAAATAAACAAGAAGCACAAACTTTTGATGAAGATGTATCTAAGAGACAACACAAATGATTAAGTGCAAAATAATAAGGAAAACAATATTATCTCCTCATCAAAATCATATGAAAATACATCATGACAGAGCCGTGCAGACACACACTTTATTATAAGTGTATTCCAAGCCCATGCTTAACGCCAAATTCATTAATTTTTATTAAGAGGGAAAACATTTGTTCCCAGGCCTGCTATCTGCATGGGTGGAATGATTTTCACCTCTGCCACGAGGTGTTGGGCGGACTCATACATCACACGATTACCCCGAGCAGCAAGCAGGGCCGCCATCATCAGGGAGTGAATTAAAGATGATAGAAGGAGCTATTAATCACTGTGACAAAGCCCCTAATGGAGGTGTGACCCGGCCACTGCCAACCGAACGCCAAGGGGACGCACCCACGGGACAAATGGATACATATGTTTACAGAGAGGAATAACCTACCTGTGGACACAGTCAAACCAACCCCCCACCACAGCCCCTCTTATTTCTGTGCAACGTCTCCATCGCTATCTCATTGTCCCCATTTTACAATTTGTTCTTAAGAATTTTTATTGTATATTTTTCATATCTTCTATATCACGCCAGTATTTTCAGAAGTATTCATGTTTTTACGCCGTAGTGGAAGATGGTTGTCCAAACAAGGCTAAACTACTAAGAACTATTTGTACTATTTAAAAATACTACGTTTCATAGACTTAACTGAAGTGTTATTTATGTTTATAAGTGCATAATGGTGTATGATGCTGGACAGGTTGTAACACTGTAAGGAGTAAAGTAAGAACATCATTCATCTACTTAGCTCAGGCACAATTCACAGATCGCTTCATCTAGCCAGATCGAGCGGTCTGAAAACCTGACGGATTGGGTCCCAGATTGTAAAATATGGAAATGAACTCTTGACCTCATGAGGAGCAGCCCTCGTACTTATCTTTAGACATCATTTGTTGCATGTGATAACAGACAAATGGGACGGGGAGGCATGTGGGGGGGTTACCTTTGTATTACGGGTCAAACATAATCACACATGATCCCCTCCATTAGTCATCATCCAAATTCTGAAAGTGCACTGTTCATCATACCTCCGCTTTCTATTTATATCTCCACAGCAGGAAAATCATGAGTATGTGTCTGTGCTGTTCCGACCATATAAAGAAATTACTCTGCGACAAACGTAATATCTCGGAGTTGATATCCACTAAAAATACAAGACCCAAAACCATAGAGGTTACCTCAGCCAATGAGGTTATTTCATCATTATTGTTTGTCTGTCTGTTAGAGGGATGACACACCACTACCATGACTGATTTTCTGAAAAAGGAGGAACCCATTAACTTTTGGAGTGGACTGGAAACAGATCCAGATTTTTTTCTTTGTCATTTTCTTTTCCATTGCAAGATAGAGTGTTAGAATTTTTTGTTTTTGTGAATTACTGAAGAAACAATGAAAAAAACAGGTATAGGTTGAGCGTTAATAACTATTAACAGGTGAAATTCAGAGCAGATTCGGATAATGATCCAGATTTTGTGAATCAAATTTGAGCGTTGAAATATGTGTAATATGAAAATTTTATTTCCCAACTGGTTCAAGTTAGTTGTTTGACATTTTAAGATTAATACCTTACCACATTGTATATCTTTTGGTTTGTTTTTGTGTTTATGGCCAATCAGCCTTTGCAGAATGTTTTTTTTCTTTCATGGCCACTACACTCTTCCTTTGTTTGGAGAATTCAAGATATGTCTCTGTGTGTGTGTGTTGTTGTTGTTGTTGTTATTGTACATCTGGTTGTTTGACTGACAAATGACAACACCCTCAGACATATAGGCGTAGACATCTGGGAGATACAACTCATTGTGACTTGATTCAGGAGGA